AATGGTTTAAATACTGCATTTAAATTTGTCTAAAATGTAATTTTAAAAGAAACATGCAGACATATACATGATAACTGACAAATCTAAAGAACAATAAATACTAAAACATTTTGACCAATTTTTCTTAGGAAAATGCTTTTTCAATATTAAGTTCAAACTTAAATTAAGTTAAGTTCAAACTTAAATTACACTCTTAAAACTTGTGTTGGGAGAAATATGCTGTTTAAAAAAAATGGAATAATTTACATGAAATGTAAGTTTTTGAATTTAAAAAAAAATTAATCACAAACAAACTATGACTACTCTTTACATTGATTTGGCGCATTTTCTTGGAAAACACAGAGGGCGCTTCTAAAAATGGATTAAATTGAACTTAAAAGTTGTGAGTAACTGCCGTAACTAAAAATAGCTATTAAAATAACCTAATATTTTTTAAAAGTGCTATTTAATTTGACGAAAAACCTTAGAATTACAGTTTTAATTGAAGTGAAATTAATTATAATTATACAAATATTCCTTTGCAGTTGCTGATTTTTTTCGGACACAGTTCTAAAAGTAATTTGAAAATTTTAAGTTGTGAATAATAAAAGAAAATTTACCTCATGAAGAAACACAATTTATTTTAGACAGAAATAATTTATTTTTAAGAATTCTTTTTCTTCTTCTTTTTTTACTCACATCAATTTATTTCTTCTTTCACAAAGAATATTTTTTATTTGTCCTGAATTTTTTTTTTTAAATTTCAGCTCCTAATAACGTTTTATGATAAAATGTTTTTATTATCTTACTTAATGACATAAATTTTATGATATTTTTTATAATACTTACTTGCATAAACCACCTTCTTTTTGCATATCACAAGTTCTTGAAGCAATAAGAGTGTCAAAGCTACAATTTTTGTCCTCCATTACAGCTAAGAAAATATGCAAATTAATGTGTAAAGTTGAACTACGTATATGTTATCACATCCAATACATTTTGTTGTAATACACTCATTTTTATAAAAATTGCAACACCTTAAAGGAATTATACAAATTAAACCAAACTTACATGAAATATAAATTGATGAAAGGCAATTAAATTAATGGAATTGCTATGTGATTGAGCATTACCACTACTTCGTACGTCTAATTGTACCACTATCACTAACATTTGGATTAAATCATGTAGAATTCTGTCAATTCCTTTATAGTGTTACAATTTTAACAAGCATTACAATAGTATTGAAACTAGAATCACAGCAAATTCAACGCAAGATATAAATTATCTATATAACAATAAAATAAAACCTTTTTAAGAACCACGTCTTTCAAGTAGTATAACAAACATAAAGTAGTTATTTAAATCGAAGTACGCAAAATGTATCACTATTTGATAGTAATTAGAAAAGTATTTCAAAAGTGACTCTCCTTAATTTTTTTAAGAGAGATAAAAAAAAAATTTGTACTCCTAATATTATTTTCAGTCCTTTTAAAAAGGGTAGTTTTATTTAAACTTGTTGTTATTTCCTTATTTTCTTTATTTTAGTTAGTTTCAAATAGTAATTTAATTAGTATTATTTTTCAGTTGCTTTATGCTTGTAATAATTTGATATTTTGATTGAAAAAATTCTTTTTAAGGATTAAATCGCAAAAGTTAAGTTTTTATCCGAATGGAAATGATTATAACTTACAATATCATCCTACAATGAGAATAGAGGCATGGACAAAACAACCAGAAAAAGGTAAAATTTACCGTATTTAGGGTTCCATGGGCTACAACAGCACAGTAGTTCTTACAGAAGCGTTTTGGTAATGATTTTGGTAAATTTGGTAAAAAGAGATCATTTGAAGTTTCTTTTTATTTTAACATAAACATTAAGTTTGAAATAGTATTAAAATTACCTTTGTTGTAATCATGAAGGGGATTACATATTAACACTTGTACTAGAAGTGCTTGTGCAGCTTCATCCTCAAAACCAGTTTGACACTGGGAAGCAGATTTAACCATGCACGCAGTCATATTTGGTGCAGATCTGAAAATATTTATATAATCTAATTGTGATCACAACAAATGATAAAAAATATTATAAAAATACGTTGTTAAACGGAATTAATTCTAGAATTGTTTTAAAGATTTAAGGATCAAAATATGAAAATCAAAAATGAAAGAAAATTTTTGATTTTCTACTCTAACAGAAAAATATGATTATTTTTGAATCATGTTAGTCCCGTGAACTATAACGCGGGGAGAATTTGCTGCCTTTCCTTTCAAGTTTTAGGCACAATCATGCTAAAGAAGTAGGGCAATTTAATTAACACAATATTAAGACTAGAATAAATCTGAACGATATTATAGTACACAGAGTTTTATGTTAGGCAATTGAATCAAGTCTGCAGAAGCTAGGTTTTTTGTTGTATAAATTTAGTCCAATAGTTTTTGCCGTTAAATTCAGTCCAGCAGTTTTTGCCGTTATGATAAAATTATTATGATTTAATCACCAATTGGATTTATAAATATGATTTTCAATGACTACAAAGATTGAAAAAAAAATTTAATTAATTACGTTTTTTTCTTATTCCAAATTAATGCTTCTGTGCTCATAGTTTGAAGTATAAAGCTAGGGTTATAATAATAATAATAATAATAATTAAAAAAACACTTGCGGGCAAAATGAGTGCATCTCCTCCTGATGTTTTTCACTCCATTCTTTTTGACACTTCTCTGTATTTTCACGATAACAGGCTACGTCACATGCAACTAAACTAGCCAAGCCTAAAAGCAAATTTTAAAAAATGTACAAGAGAATACACTGTAAAAAAATGTAAGAAATTTACGGAAAAAACTGTCACCTGGAGTGTCAGTATAAAACCGTTTATTTCAAAGAAATATACTGTTATTTAAAAAATAGACATACGATTTTTTAAGCATATAAGTACTGTTATTTTACCAAACAAACACTGTTATTTTTAAAAAAAAAAACACTCTATAAAGCAACTAGCGAGTGGAGAGCACCATGCATGCGATCAGTCGATGCTGGGATTCGAACCCGGATCATTATTATATTAGGCATGCATTCTTTATCCAGAGCTCTGGCAACTCAGTGCAAAGAAATATCTTAAACTGTTTCAAATTCAAATAAAAAAATCTTACTTATTGAAAAAATAATTAAGTGTGAAAGCGTTTAAAATTTTAATGGCCCAACGGTATAAAAGTATAAAAATGTTTGGTAACTTAACTTACCGAAAAATAATACCTAAGGAAATGTAATGTCTTATCTTTTTGACAAAATAGATCATCTTTTTGACAAAAAATCGAATCGTAATTTTATTTATACGATGTTCAAAATCATAAAATAATTGCTGAAAAATAAGAGCAAGTATTGAAAATAAACGTAAACTAATTTGAAAAAGTTGAGTTATAGTAAGGTAAGCAAAACTGCATGGTAACTGACTGTTTTAATCTGTTCATGTCTAGTATAAAAAAACAGAGAAAAACCGTTTAGTCAACAAAGAAGATTTAAGCCATTAAATATACAGAGAAAGTCTATAAGAAGAATAAAATTTTTTACAGTGCCCGGATAACGGTTAGAAAAGGAAAAAAACCTGTATTTTTCTTTAAACAGATTTTTTCTGTAAATATGCTTTTCTTCAGAAAAATTAAGAATTAATTTCTTACAGTGTAGATTATTTTTACTAATTTTCATTTTAAGACCTTAAGCCCAAACCCTAAGATGAAATAAGTAAACTCTTATATTTACAACAGTAGCAATGTAACAATAACCATAAGAAAAGTGTACTGTTTACAAATTTTGTTACAATGCTTCTTAAAAAAGTTCATTTTGATGCAAAAAAATATATTTTTGGAAAATCTCTTTATTTCGATTAATTAAATGATAATGACATTTTACATAATTATTATTCCTCACATTTTTTTAATACTATTCTTAGTTTTTAATTTTCTATATATTGTAAAACTTTTACTCCTACTTTTTAAATGAGAACTGAGCCAATAAACATGAAGAAATGTTTTATATTGATAACTTGTTAAACTTAAAAAATATTTTACACATAGATGCATTTTTAGTCATTGTATTTCAAATGGACTTCATCATTCAAAGGTAAATGAATTACGAATATCAAACTAAGTCATAAATCAAATGTTCTTGACACTATTTTTTTGGCTTAGAAATCGTGATTGCTTCTGTAACAGCCTTATATTTTAAAATTTCAAACATTATGGGAAGCAATTAGCATTTATTAAATTTTTAATATTATTATATAATTATTAATATGCAATTATCAATATATAATTATTAATATATAATTATTAATGTATAATTATTGATATATAATCCATAATATTATTTTAATATTACTGAGATTATTTTAATTCTTTTTAAAATAAGTTAAAATTCGATCACAAAACATACTTTCTCATGTTAAACATGAATTAAATACGTAAAAAATTGCATAACCTTTTGAAAAAAGAATCGCTATTATGATTTTAGTTTTACTTTGATGAAAACTATTACAACGATTGTTGCTTATTTTTTCTAAACCTATGTAAAGATTTACAATTAATACAAATTTTTATTTATTAATACTTTTAATAACCGAGAATTTTCTTTACAATTAAATTTGGCATGAGTTGTATTACAAATATAAAAAATACTGATAATACAAAAAGTACTGATAATATATGAGAGAAGTTTAACCAACAGTTACAAATTATTTATTTAAGCTCAGGCAAGTTATAAAAATAAAGTGTGATTGAATTATAAAAGGAAAATATACTTTTTTAAGTTACATAGCCATAATAAATATTATACAAATATTAATAACCAACAGTTAGAATAAGTATTTGTTTTTGAGCCTCATTGATACGTTGATAGATATTATAATTGATACTCATTCATAGATAATATTGAAACTCTAACGAGGCATCTTTAATGGTGTATCATTTTGAACTGATATCCAATGCAATAAATAAAATTTCCAAATTTTAAAAGTGAACTAGGAAGGCACCTTAATTGAATGTGGTATTAAAGATGATTTTAACAAAACAATTATTTGTATGAACACTGAGAAACCAGATATGTTCAAGACTATCAGAATATGGTAAAATTTACCATGTTTCTGGCTATATAAGAGCACAAAGAAGCCTTGTAATTTTCCCAGAAGTGCTTCGAAAATGACTTTTGGTTAAATTATTAATAAAATATGGTTTTATTACCACGTTGTTACGTAGAAAATCAGGTAAAATTCGGTAATGTTAACTCGATACTTTAGAAGGTAGTATAAAAATTATTTATTCGGCTAAATTTTGTTTCTTACTAAATGAGGGGTAATAAGAACTATGAATCAGAAAAACGAAAATTTTTGTTGGCATGCAAACGGAAAAATTACCAAATGAATGATTTAAATACCGTATATTATTGTTTTGTTGCCAAAATTATAATTTTTTTTAATCAGAAATATCATTACTTTGCAAATACTAAATTATAATCATATAAATCATATAAATATCTATGAATTATCACTATCTAATGAATAAACACTATCTGAAGAATCATAAGAATTATAAGATGATTTGTTTAAGCAATTTGAAATCAAAGTTGAAATCTTCTAACTTACATATCAAGATAAATCCCCTGAAGTACATCATGTTTCCTTGTTTCGAATCTTTCTGAATAATAAATTTTAGATCTGTAAGAGTCCTTTTAAATCAGGACAATTTGGGAAATTTTTCAGGTGTTTGATCTTATCGTCATCTAATTTCTTACAGGCGTGTAAATGTATCACTACAATTAAATGTTTCATTCAATGAGAATTGCCCGAAGCACGTGGGCGTAGTAAGCCCACGTGCTTTCCCATTCACAAATGGTGTTTCTCAAAATAGAGAAATCTAAATAATCGATACTTCAGCTCACTGATAATACTTAATTTGAATGTAAGTAATCTTTATCACATGTTTCATATCTGCTATGTGTTTATTTATTGCTCCACAGTTACTGATTTTAAAAAAATATCGAATCAAACAAAAAAACCACATGTTTTTAATACTAAAAAAATCAGAATTACTACACGGAGAAAAAAAAATCAATGCCAAAGCACTATGGTAAAAATTTCTGAGCTTTTTGGTGTTCCCAAACAGCCAGGTAGTTTTGACCATACTTTCTTCTCAGTGTTAATATAGTTGGCAGACAAATATTTCTCATAATATATTTTAAAACTCAAGGGAGTTTCATTTGTATTTTCATATATATGCTTGAAAATTAAATAAATTCTGTTTGTAGTGGTCAAGAAGCAATTGAAAATTGTATTGTCTTCAATCACAGAGCTTTTGTGGAGAATGGAAAGTTCTATTAAATATGGAAATATTTCTGATGATCACGTTTCAACTATTTACTGTTTTTTCATGCAACCAAACCGGTTTTGATGTCTTCAGCTCCATCTCCTTAACTAAAGAAGCTTTTTTCAATAGTGGTTTCGTTTTTCTATTGTGAAATAATAATTTTTGACCTATATTACGCGGTATATCTCATTGGTTAAGGCACTGAACAGGGGTTATCTGCCTATATTTTAAAACTACGCCTATCAAGTTAAATACTATTAATATATTCAAGGTGATTCTGTTGCTTTGTAAAAAAAGTTTTAAAACTATAATTTCTCATTGTTTCTCATATTGAATTGCACAGCAATTTTCTAAAAAAAAAAATGAATCCTTCATTGAATAAATTCTCAACAATTTAAGTCCCGCAACGGACTGATCGTTAAGACACGGTTCCCAGCAGATCACCGAAGTCAAGCATCACTGGCTGCTGTCAGTGTGCTGGTGGGTGACCACTTGGATCAGTCTGCGTAGGGACCGAGGGTGTGCGCTATTGATCCTAGAAAAACTGTTCTACCGTAAAGTGCTCGACTTCGTGTGCAGGTCGTTGGGCTACCGAAGCGGGGGTGCCATACCCTCTGCAGAGGATCAAAATTGTGATGACTTGTCTTTGGATCATCCTCAGGGATGTTTCCCAGACAGTCGCCATTAGCCCATTGTGCAGATCTAGTGCGATGTAAATGAACTACTACAACAACAACAATTTAAATAATCTCTAAGCCTTGGCTATCAAGGATCTGAACTTTATCATAATTAAAAAAATAATCATACAGATATAGTCACTTTAAAAGTAATTATTTTCATATATTAAGTTATTATCCAAATTATACATATACTGTCTAAAACTTTGTTATGTAAGACAACAGATCAGAGCTTCATCAAAAAACATCCTCAACAGGTAAAAACAGAACTTCATCAGAAAAAACAACGTTCATCTTAATTTTAGAGAAGCAACGATAAATTTTGTCTTTTATCAACAAAATTTAAGATTTCTTTTCGAGTAAAATTTTTTTGGAATAAATATGATTTGTTGGCTTCATGTTTTGTAAAAGTTATTTACCGCTTACAATTTACCGACGACGTCACTTGCAGGTATTTGTCTGGTGTTAAGAAAATTGGTAACTATGTCCAGGTATTCCTTAATTATATTTTATGACTTAACCATTGTAAGTTGTTAAACTAATCAGTTGGATTCTACCTTGTTGCATCCATTTTGACGTTGTTTAGATAATGTGTGGTGCCATCTCAATACAAACAATTGAACTACGTTACATTACAAAATTAAAGGACAACATGTCACAAGAAAGTTTATTTGAGAGAAGTGATTCATTAGCATAATACCATTATAAGCTTTTCATTATAAGTTAAATAATATTTTAGTATTTAATTTAATCTTATGATTTCTTACATTATGAATTAATTTGTTCGATATGAGTTGGTATACAAGATATTTCTTTTGATCACTTATGACGCTAAGTAAATTTAAATATTTAAAAGTTTCAAACGAATTAAAACTTGAAATGAATAATGAACATGACTATGAAATGAAATAAAAATGCTTCTAAATGCTATAAATTTGGCAGTTACTTTTGAGATACTCCTCCAAAAAGTTTTCTTCATTCAAGTTTAGTTAGAGAAAACAGAGTTACGCACTGTGGAAGAACAAAAATGTTATGTAAATAAAAAAAGCTTAACGAAAGTCATTTATCGAATTTAATAGAGATAATACGGTTTTATATTTACAGCTTTGTGTAATAGCACTGAAAAACAGCATGTTCAATTGTATTGTATTGCAAACAAATGTAATTTTACCTTTTTTAAAATTCTTTTTAGCACTTTGTTCTTTAAACATACCATTACCGGTCATTTGACCGGGAGAACAATTTATTGCTTTTTAAGGTTATCGGATCAGAAATCACGATATAATGCGTGTTCAAAGTATTGCATTCGATTAGTTGCACATTTTTGCAACGATTATTGCGTAGTTAGATCAATCAGAATAACTGTGAATTCAAATTTCACGAAAGTACCTAACATTTTAGATTGGCATTTTTGTGTCAGGAAAAGTGACAAAAACTAAATATTTTTATATGTGACTTATATTTTATTTTGATAGCTTTACTTCATTTCTAACTAACTGTTTTTACCCAGAAAAATATCGAAAGAATCAAGACAGCACAAGTTCTCAGAAGAAATAATATCAATTATAGGAATAATTAAGAGAATTACAATTTTCATAATTCTTATATATTCTTATAAATATAAGAATAATTATAAGAATTATAGAAATAATAGTAATTAGAAAAAATATGTTTGCGGAAAATCTACAATGGAAACCTCCTGTACATGTAAAAAATGCGTTGAGCAATGAATTAAAAATTCTTATACCTTATGTCTGTAATACATGAAAATGGGCAATATACAATTTTGTTTAAATATAATAATGTTTTTTTTAAAACTTTATTTCCATCCTAACATCCATATTTCATACATTCAATCAAGAAACATTAAGGTAGAAATAGGCATATATTAAGCGTTGGTATGTTTTGTGTTAAAGAAGGATAACGTGAAATTTATCAGATGTTCTATAAGATGCTCTATAGATAATATACACTTGAGTAAGAAATTACACCAGTGTATCTTATCTATAGATGATCATGCGTAACATTCGTTGGAGTCAGAAGGTATGAAATTGCCACAGGACAATTGCAGCAGGAAATTATAAACTGCCATATTTCAAGTATGAAATCACACTGAGAGGCCTGCATATCTCCTAGAGGAAACCATACCCCCTATTAACCCATTTTTTGTTTATTCTGCAACCACTGTTTCATACCTTCCAACTCCAACTAGTGTTGCACGCGATCATGCGTGTGAATTACAATTGTTGAATGGTTGATTGTTTTGTATTGCATCAATGTATGTACAATCAACTTTCATTAAAATCGGTCCAGTAGTTCCAGAGATAATCGACCAAGTCTGCAAATTCTCTTAATTTCTTCCACCAGTGTAATTTTAATATTATCTGAACACATATGGGTTTTTTTTCCACATTTTATTAGCATTTGACATACCATTATGATAAAAAACTGTATTTCTTTCTGTTTATGTAAAATTGTCATTGTTTTTTTGAAAGTTATTAAAATGATAAGGAAATTATATGACTAAATCTATCTTATCATCATCTAACTGATAACCTTATGCTTCAGTGGCGATAAATATTATTTAACAAATAAGTTTGAAACACCTGTAACAGATAAACAAGCAAAGTAAAAATGCTATTTTTAACGAATGATGATTTTTATCTTTTGCTGAAAACTTTTTGTTCGCTATACAGTAAACTTAATGGTCAATTTTAAAAACTTTTCAACATTGATATGTTTAGTATTTTCAAAGCAAAGAAAATGGAAATTTTTTTGTTGTGATTAAAAAATTAGCAGTTCGAAACAGTAAAACAAAATTACGATAGATTTTCGCCGTGTAGTATCTTAAGGTTTTGCAGCTTTGGTTTTTTAAATGTATATAAATAATGTATACAAAATTTTTTTAGGAAAGAACTTACATATTTTTAATCGAAACTTAAAACTTTATTTAGTTGTTTAATTTCCTCTTTTGTTGGTTAGATTTTGCAGTATAAAGGGAGTGCCAGTACTTTTTACTGTAATTTTATCAGGATTTTCTTGCACTGTAACTGATGATAATTATTTCGATTGAATGTAAATAATCTTTATATGGACATTATGTTTGTTACATATTTAAAAAAAAAAAAATATAAAGAAAATGTCAAAACATGTAGTTTCATGTTAAATGGTTGACTATGTTTGACTGTCTGGCCACTATAATGAAATTTTACATAATTTAATATAATCAAGTGAAAAGCAAGAAATGAAAAAACAGTAACTCACTTTTTTTAATTAAACATTGCAAAACATCTGGCAAAATTTAAACAAATAAAATAACTGACACACCGTAATTTTTACAGTAATATTTACTAAATCACTGCAACTAAATCATATTACTGTAAAAGCTAGAATATAAAACTTTACTGTAAAAGTGGACTATACAGTAAACAGAGATTTTATAGTAAAATGGATTTTATGGTGAAATTGGATTTTACAGTAAAATGGATTTTCCTGCAAAATGTATTTTTAAAAAACAATTTTTTAAAGAAAAAGCTAAAAGAAGCTACTTTTACTCTTAAATATAGAATACTAATGTTTTTTTTTTTTTGAAAATTAAGATGAATAGTTTTTGGAAAGTTCCTTATACCTACTTCAAATGTATATTTTAAATTTATTTAAAAATGTATACTTTCGACACAAGATAAAACCAATTGAGAACCTCATGATTGGGATTGAAAAAAGTAGTTGATGTCTCAGATTTCTCACTTTTTACATAAATAAGACAGTATGTGAATCAACATACTGTCTTATTTATGATGTTTAATTCGCATGTTAACATGATGTTTAATTCACATTTGAGAATGTTTCGTACAATTACGTAAAATAAAAACTTTATTTCCTTTTGACATTCTACGGTGTCGAGAATATGTTTTAATATATAAAAAAATCCAAGTCTGTGATTTGATAAGTTGATTTTGTGAAATCGTTTTTTATGCAAATCATGCAAGAAAATATTTATCTCTGACGTATATAATGTTAAAGTTTATAATTATCCTTATTCAAATCGCTTTGTTTATTAAGATTATTACCACAATTGCGATTTTAATTTGAAAGGGAGAAAAAATATGATTTTTAACAATTTATGTTGGCTTTTGAGAACTGTAATTTTTATTTTAAATGTTTATTAATTTTTCTCAATAATATGATAAACTTATTATTTTTGTTTTAGTGTTGTGCAAGGTATCCTAAAAGAAATGAATGATTTGAAATATTAAAGAGTAGAAAGTACTGTTGCGTTCAGCTTAGGATCCAGAAGTTTGAAATCCGGATATATTCCCATGAAGTTTTCAAACCAGTTGTAAATTCCATCAACTATTATTGCTATGATAATTGAGAGAAACTAGAAAAACTTTGCGTTCTGCTGAATATCAGCTATATATTATTTTGGGAAATTATAAAAATATTAAATTGAATATGCAATAATATTTGTAATAGGATCTGCTATTTTGGTTCTCAGACACTAACACTTGTTGTCTCAAATGGTTGCTGCTTTTTGTTAAGCAGAACACTGCAAACCTTACCTGTTTAAGGAAAAAGCAGTGACTAGCAGGATTCGATAACAATAATATTAACATTGCTTTTCTAATTTCTCTAATTGAATTTTTAAAAAAAAACTTTAAAACTGTTCCCCATTCATATATATTGCAGGAAGCCACAAATATGTTGGGAATGTTAATGTATCAAAGTACTGATTTGCATTACATATCTTTATTAAGAATATTTTGTAAAGCTTCCTGATGATATTACATGAAATGTAATTTTAATTAGTAATAATTAACGGCTTGATGAGAATGATTTACAAAGGTTAAGAAAAAGAAAAATTTTCATAGTATTTTAAATAATTTCATAAATTTGCGTGATTAATTATAATAACTAACAAACAAGCAACAAGTGCATACCAAATAATTCGGGATATAGAAAGCAAATATTCCTAAGTACGTAACAACTTTATATAACATGTTATCTATTTATACTCTATAGAAAGGGTAAAAAGAGTTTCTTAAACTTGAGAGAATATGTTTCAAAATAATACTAATCGAATTTGAAAACTCTGCGTATTCAAAATTGAAACTATATGTGCATTTTTTAGTATGATTCGCTTAGTATGATTTGATTGAGAAATGTGTTAAAGAAATGTTCGTTGACCTCCATCAGGATTCGAACCAAGGAGCTCTAGAGTCGTACTAGCTAACAAACAACATAACATTCAAGTAACATAGCAGACATTTAGGCAACATAGTTGTACTACATGCCAGTCTAAGGAGAATTAGGAAGATTTATGCTGTGGCCACCACATTGACATATCATGACATACATCAACATCGCTTAAGAGTTTTTGAGATTATTAGCAAAAATTAGCAAAAACTGAAAATAAAATCTCCCTTTTCCTGGCTAAATTAGACGCAAAGCAAATGCTTTTGGACGTTTAAAGGCAAATAATTGTGCAATTTCAAAAAAATTGACAAGATATCGGCTAGTTTACATGAATTTTGTGTTGGTAAAATATAACTGCTTCTTGTCGGATTGAATTCAAAAACTGGTCATCTTAGAAAATACCAAATATCTTTCAACCCTCCTTTATTGATAAAAAATGCTGTTTGTGTTCGATTATTTGCCGAGTTATTTCAGATATTATATCGGATTAATTTGACAAACTACTCATGTAAACTTATATGAAACGCGGGTATTTTTTTAGTTGCGTTATAAAGATATTTATTTTCTTTAAAGATTCATATATATCTGTCAATTGCTTAAAATATTTTATAATATTTAACTTAGATTCACATCGGTTTTGTTAGAATTAATATTAATATTTTGTGTGAGCTGTGTGTATGCTTAATTAACAAACTAATTTTATTTTTAGAAATCGTGCATAGATGAAACCTATATTTATGATACTTTCTTTAGTTTGCATCGTAAAAATAATTTTACTGACTTATGAGCATCATGTTCATCATCTACTTTGCATCAAGTAGCGTAAAAGAACATTCTAGGTGCTTCTTTACACTAAAAACTATTACCAAAACCAAGGATACTAACAACTAAACAGTAAATAAATATAGTGCAAATGATAGGACAAAATCCAACGATAGCAGAAAACTTACACAACTTTGGTGTAAAGTATTTGCCACCACTTTTGGTAATCAAATACATGAAAAGTTTCCCAGTACACAAAAATGAAAAAAAAGAACCTATGTTTTTTTCAGTGAATTTAGCAAAGGCGACTTATTCCTTTGCCTTTTCACTTAACCATAGAAGCTAAAAGTTTAATTTTTACTATATCATTTCTTTGCTTTCAAAATTGATATGATCTAGTTTCTTAGTCAATAAAATGGACCCAATTTACTGCTTACCCTAAAATTTCTATCGTATTATTTCCTTAATCCATCATAGCTCTCTGCACTAGTTGATACATGCAAATTGCGTATTATATTATAATTAATTTACAGTCAGTGAAATGTATATTTGTATACCTGGATTGATAGCATTTATTCAAAGAGCAGAATTGTTTTTCAAATTTAATTTTCAAAAACTGAAAAATTTTTACAATCATGATTTTTCATGATTTTCCACTTTCAATACAAGACGTGTAGCAATTGCATTTTAGATAAGAGAAAATGTCGAAAAGGGACATGTAATTTCACATATGTTTCTGAAATGTAATCTTACGAAATTTTTATTATATTTAGTTATTTATAGTTCTGGAATGTCACTTTTCTGAAAGTTATGAATTTTTACTAGAAAATTTCTACCACTTACGATTTCAAATCTATTCTATTTCTGAATACAGAAAACTGACACTTTTATGTTTTTGGAAATATCTAAAAACCTGTCCTAAAAATTTAAAGTATTTTTGTACTCGACTGCCCTACCATTCGCATAATCAATATTTTGTGGTGTTTTGAAGCGGGTAGCATGTTGCATTGAGCATTTGTGAATGTTACATCATTATTAAAAAAAAGTCCATGATATTAAATATTTGTAAAGGGTGAAAAATATTCGTCATTTCATATATATATATATATATACATATTGTACATATATATATATATATATATGA